TGCACAGCACAGGCAGGCATATGTTTTCTTGGAAGGGGAAGGCTGCTTTTGAAATTAAATTGAACTTTCCAGGTTGCTCAAGCTGTAAAACAACAGAATAAATTTCCACAGGGAGGGCAAAAAAGACAAATTGTAAATATTTTTCAGTATCTGCCTTATATTTCAAAAGAATTACTCATTTTCTTATGTTGCAGTCATGTATGAAAAGTATTGTGAACTTGTCAGATTTTGGCTACTGGCATACATGTGCACACAGATGCATCTGCTTCAAGTCCAACAGAGCATTCCTTGTCACTCAGCAACCTACTGGCATGTGTAGGGCTCAGAGGATGAGATCCTCCTAATAGAATACAGTCATAAATGAGACAGGTTGCAAGATGGTCTTTCTCCAGGAAAACTTAGCTAAACAAGCTTTGATACATTTTTTTCCTTTAAAAGAATTTCTCTTCTGCATGGATTACAGGATTTTCCATAAGGTTCATAGTAAAGGCTATGCTTGCTCTGAAAACTTAAGCTTACACTGGTAACCACTGTCAAAACCAGACTATTGAAATAACAAATGAGGTTCACTTCCTCAGAATGTGTAAATGTCTCAACTTAGAGTTAAACTTTCAACAGCTGAAAGACAATACCATTGACACGTACCTGGCACTAGTTACTCAGGTTTATTTTTTCCTGGAAAGCCGTTTTGGGCGACAGAGTGGCGTCCGGGCTTCCCAGGTTGTTGTGCTGACAAACTGCAGTGGTGGTAAATGCAGGGAGTCTGACAAAATCTCATTAATCATTTTAAATTAAATGCAACATTCCTCTCTAACACTGCCAAGAAGAAAGCTAACTTTTACAAATGAATACTCTCTCTGAAAAGAACTGGTATCTTGATCATGTTGCTTTCACATAAATATGCTTGATTTCTGTTATGTATACATACTCCATTAATAAGCAGTATTTTTAAGCTTAAAAAACAATGCATGTGTTGGATTGCCTTGTTTTCTGTATAAGGTGCTACGAGTGAACCACACAGCTGAAATCAGAGCCTCTTCCTTCTTGTTTTTTCTTTCTTAAAATTGTAAATACAGAAAGTTCCTTTTTAATACAAGTAAACTTCACATAGGGAATGGAAATATTCTGTCAAAATATTTTCTAACCCATCTCTTCCCTAAGCCTATTAATGCGACTAAGAAAGGGAAACTGCAAATTTACTAACATTAATGTCAGCAAAAGCACTTAGGTGATGAAGGAGCGATGTGATCTCCTGAAAGATTTTTTCATATGCATTTCTGTAACTAATCCTAGCTATTTGGCTATGATTTAATTACACATATTGCATGGTAAGTCTAAACTTTTAATATCGAATACATAATATTAGAACATCACACAAAATTTTATCCTAGTGAAATCACATGCAGATTATAAAAGTTTGTGCATTATTTATTTGAGGAAAAATCAAACCATAATGTGCCTATGGGAGACACAGGAAATAGTTCCAGTCTGTTCTTTGTCCATTTTAATAGTGCTTTTGAGATTAGAGTGGTAGATTTTACAATGGCAGAGAACAAGTCATCAGCCTTAATGTTTATTAGTTTTGATATGTACATGAAATATTTGAAAATAAAAAAAAAGCCCAATCCAATAGAAGGCAAGTAAATCTGACTTTTAAAAATACTTATTATTTTGACATTTTAACATGATCAAGTAGGTATAGCTCTTTAAGTACCTAAAATAATTTCATACTTGTTTTCTAAAAACAAAACTATAAAAAAATATCAGATTGCACAATGACATCCTTACACAGAGAACAAAAATATTACCCCTTCAAAGAGCCATTCCTGTTGATAAACTTGTTTATGTAAAGAACATTAATAAACTGCAGAATACCGATGAGGAAATAATAACATTTATTTGCCCAGCTATTCAGTTTATTTTCCTAAAGCTGTATTTTGAAACAGTTTATAATTTTCCTTTTTCCAGTGCGGGAGGTAGGAAGGAAAGGTTGAAGAGATAAAAATTTAATTCTTTTTCCTGAATACAAATTTCTCACTTGCTTCAAAATTGACAAACATGTCGCTAACTTGCACTTGTTTGGGCTTTTGTATGTTGAAGCAGCTTTCTTTTAAAAAAGTCAAAGCATAAAAGCATTGTATAGTTTGAATGGAAAGTATTCTAGACAGAAATAGTTTAAGAAAATGTAGACTATCAGATGCTATAACTAACCCACGTGAATATGTATATATGCCACATTCATTGAATAAATATGAGAGCCTCAGAATTTAATATAGGCAAAAATGAGCTGTATTATGTGACACTTTACATGGACACATAAAGGACTCTCATTTCCCCTACGTGAACAAAGAACAGTTGTCCTCCTGTCACATCTGCATGCACTGAAGTTAGCAAAATTTCAGAAATAGCCATTCAGAACACAACTCCAGTGTCTTTTATGACCAGAACAGCTCATGTTTGCAGGGGGATGGGCTGCAGGCTCATTCTTTCTTTCAGTGCCTTCTACAGTGTGTACAGTTAGCATAGAGGCAACACCACATGGCCAAAGTTCAAAGGACACACACTGGTGGAATCACAATAGTTCAGGAATCACTTTGCAGTTATAAGCATGGTCCTGCTCACGCAATTAGGCTCAGCATCCTCTAGCTAAGTCTTCTGAAGTGCTTAATCAAGTAGCTATTTCCACATCACATCATTTAGTGATACCAGGATCAACTAAGTATCGACCATAATTTTTGTTTAAAATGTGTGTGAAGACACCAAGTGCATTGAAGAAGACACTGCTCAAAACTTAAGTTTTTTAAAGGGCTTTTGGAGGATGACTAAAAGAAGTTTCTCACTTTGTAAGAGTACTATTACACCTGCTTGAGACTTTTTTTTCCTTTTAAGACAGGCAATTTTCTAACTTCATGAAAAGTCTAGGTTGTTAAAATGCAAAAAATCACTTCTCAGTCACTCTGAGTTAAACTGGACTGACAGTTAAACTGGAAAAGGGACAAAGAAATGTCTAGACTAATTTTTTGTTTCTTGGTTGCCTCTGAGGGAATTCACACCTGGCACATCGTGTTTGCTCTTTTCTATTCAACTCTGAGTTAGTAACATAATGTATAACATGAGTTGAGCACTAACCACCTAACACTGCTCCAAATCCTGTTGTGATGATCAGATGCTGTTATCTGTATGTCATTAGGGGTTTGTTTTCTTTTCCCCTGGACTTGTGTCTTATGGAAACTTTAATGATAGCATCCTGCTTCTAATTTATCTTCTTGGCTGCTACACTGGCCTTGAAGCTTTCTAAACCTTGCTAATACATGTACTCATCTATTCCAGAAAAACACATGTTCTGTCTGCCTGGAAACTTTGTTCTCTATCAGGGTAACTGAAAATTAAGAGATGCGCAGACTAAGTTCTTACTCTCTTACCAATAGAGAATCAAAACCAGTTTCACTAATGTCAACCTAAATACAAGTCAGAAGAAAATTAGGCCTTGCTCTTCATTTGTGGCTTGAGAAGAAAACATTTTCTACTAAGATTAAAATATACATTTGAAGAATTCAGTGTAACTTCTGAGTAGCATTTTCTAGAAAACTAAGTTCTGTGGTCTCCATCTAAGATCACTTTAAGGAGCCCAGAGACACTTGCCCCTATTGCTGTCTTCACAGATTATGTTAGGAGTTTTCTGTCATTTTTTCTCCTTGTAATACAGGAGCAGATACCTGTGCCTTACACAAAGCTCCCCACTGTACCACATACTCTTTATTTGTGTCTGAGATTAACTGACCACTGCGGAATGCATCCTTGGACTGTCTGAAATACATGAAACAACACAGGGTGAAGTGATGAGTAGTTATCCTGAGAGGCAAGTGATAGTGCAAACCTGTCTGGAAGATAGCTGCAATACTGCTGGCTCCTGGCTTTGGCTGTAAGTGCTACATAAATACAAATGGCATTTACACTTGATTAAAGGTAATGTAATTAAAAAAGTACAGCAGCGTAGGCAAAGTGCATGCCTATGAGTACGACCAGCATCCAGCTCCTGTCTCTGCCACAGACTTTGTGCATAAAAAAATCTGAATAATCTGTAAAACAGAACAAAGAATACCTTTCTACCTCACCCTCATGGTGTTACCATGATGAATCCAGATGCTACTGATAGCTGAATATTATGTAAACAAATATAATCAGGAACAGCTCTTATTTCAACTACATGCTCTGTCAATTTAAGAAAAGTACTACTCTACGAGCTGTCTGAACAAAAACCAGGCAAATCCTCATTCAATTCCTGCACATGCACAGCAGTTGCACTTTAATATTCTACACACTTCAAAAAATGTCACAACACAACCTGACCAAAGGAATTTTCGAAGTATTTCCATAAATCTAGAACTGCTTAAAATCTAGCTACATGACAGATTTAGAAAGTAATTCAGTATCTGACTCTGAAATGGCTCTCCAATCCTGCACAGTCACTGCTCTAATCTTGCACCGTCAGTTTTTAACAGCTTTAGCAATGAGTCATCTGGTATGTATTTGCCTAAGCATTTCCATCATTGACACTTCTAGACTGAGGGAACTAGCTGAAAGCAGCAACACATTAGTCGGCCCCACCACTTTCCTTGTTGAGATTTTTCCTTGCTTACTGTGCTGAATGGGTACTTGAAGTTGCCCTATGCTCCCTAAAAACTAGTGTCTGCAATATGGATTATGTACGTAAATTATATAAAACTCCATGTATACTGCACAATTTCCCTTGGCTATCCCTGTATGACATCAGGCTTCTGCTAAAATAGAGGTTGTAAGCCTTAAAACTGAGTCAGTAGCAGATTGGCAATATGCTAATTCAACTTAGTCAATACAGTGTTAAATATCAGCTTAGATAATTTACAGGTGTTCTGTCCCCTCCTAGAATAAACTTTATTGTAGTATTCAGACCAATGTTTTTCTAACTTAGGTATCTGAGGTAGTCAGTACTGTAAAAAATGCAGAAGAAAGTACAACACTATTTTAAGAGATAAAAGGAGAAATTTTAGTTAAAATATTTTACAATAAAATAATTATGATTATAAATCTCTTTAGTTAAATATATACACATTACATGGTTTTCTAAAAAGAATGAACTTAATAAAGTTTCAAGCAGATCTAACGCACAAATTCACCACTATGTCAGCTTAGACTGAAATGTCAGTTTAACATTCATAAATGGCTGTGTCAGACTAATGGCATTGTTTTGTGCAAAACTAAAAAAACGTTATGAAAACCAAATCCTTCCATTCCCACAGCAAACAGATAGAAAAGGTAGTTTACACATACACACACTTACACATACAACCTTTGATTGCATACAGAGGTTAGAATGACCAGCACTAAAATAACCCCCATCTCTACAAAATAATTCATTTCTTCAATTGATGTAATTTTTGAAAATTACAAATTTTAAGTGCTAGCAAATTGTGCTTTTAGGCAGCCACGTGGCCAATAAGGTAGATGTTGTCATAAAGGTGCCCTACAAAATCTTCACTAATATTCTGTGCAGCTCGTCGTGTATTTCGGATGAATTCCCTCTTTGACATTTTGTTCTTCACGTGAGGGCTTGTTAGATCAATCGAAAGTAGAATCAACGAGTAACACAGTACATAAACTGCATCTAGACGAGAGAATAAAGAAAAAAATTTTTAAAAATGAAACAGTGACCACTAAAAATATTGTTCCCTATGCAAGAACCTTACAGTCTTCATCACTTGGGCTCATAATTTTATTTTTTTCATATATATATATACATATATATACACACACATATATAACAACTCAAAATGGTATCCCAGTGAAATAAAATTTAATATAGCAACTTTCAAAGTCAACACATTGCCAAATGAGAAGCTAAAAATCTCTTAATATTTCCACATAATCCAAAAGTCACTAAGGGCTTTATGCACGTTCATTTAAACAGAATCTTGAAGTTTTTGTAACCTAAAGCAAATATTCTGCAAAAGCTTATCTCTTAAATATGTAAGTAGTTCCACTGCTGAAAACTGCCTCCCCTCCCAACCAATTAGAAATGCTTGTTAACTTGAGTGAGGCCCAGAATTCCCTCTCGCTTCTGTGAGACTATCCACAAAGTAAAATGTTAAGTGTGTAAGACTCTGCAAGAGGAAATTTAGAGATAGCAAAAAGCTCAAGCACAGACAAAAGTGAAGGAAAGATAACATGGAAAAAACCCACACTAATCAGCTAAAAAAAGAATCTGTGTATTTGGGTTTTTTCCAGCCCAAGTGGGATGATGACTGTATATTGAACCCAAGCCATGTTTGTACTTTCAGAAATACTTGTTTAGGTGCTGATTTTAAAACTATCATAAACATTAGCATCCTCCAGAAACATAAAGACTGATCCACTGCATCAAAGCTCTTTTTTTGCTTACCAGGGCTAAGGCCAAGCTCTCTCATCAAATCAGGATTACAAGCACAGAATCTGTGAGAGAACTTTGTTATGAGAGTTTCAAGGTACTCCCCACGCTCCTCAGGAGCATGAATGTGTCTGAAGAACTCTCTCAGTGCATTTGGCAAGAACTGATTTCTGAAGTTGTGCAGTGTCACGAGGTCATCCAAAACATCTCGCCTGGTAGAATGAAAACCCACATTATTAGAGAAGTTTCTTTTAGCTGTTTATGTATGAAAATATAGGTTTCTAAAATGAAAATGTAAGCTCTAGAGTGGTATGAGCTTTGGTTTTTGTGGAACAACAAGGTACAAACAGCACAAAAATTACATAAATGTGTTCTTCACATACAATAGTAGCCAAATACTATAAAAATATACATTAATCAGAATTCAAAGTTTCTTTATATGCATATTCAACCACAGTCTAGAGACTTCATATCTTCTAAATTGTGACAAAGACATTAAAAAAGACAGTAAAGGGAACAGATTCATGTGTCATATATTTTGATGCCTAATTAGAAGCTATTACAGGAGTGTCTTGTTATTGACAAAATTTGCTCACAAAACCCCTTTAAAGTCCACCAGGGTGTAATGCTCTCCTGCCTCTTCCACTGAACACAAACATCTAAAGGATTCAGGTCAGCTTACATGAACAGATGTGCAAAAAAGATCTGAAGAAAATTTGGGAGTAAATTTTAAGTGAACCTAAGAATATTTCTCCTATGTTTAAGCTAATTTTTACCTTTCAATATTAAGATGGGACTGTCAACATTAAAAAAACTAGTTTTTATTCTGAGTGCCTGATTACACTGTGTTTATAAAGGGAAGATGAATGGCAGTTGGGGTTGCTAATATTAACTTGCAAATTCCTCTGTTAATGGTTTCCTATTTTTTCTATTGCTGAAAAAAATTGATAATTTGAAGTTTTACAGCACAGGACTGTCAGTGGTGGTAACACTACAGAAGGACTCCTTTAATAGCACAGACCAAAGGGGATGAGAAACAGTAGAGGATTCCTGCTAGAAGTGCTGTTTTCCCTTTGTTCTTCCTATTTAGGTGCAGCTACTATTCTCCTCCTCTTGCAACTTCTCCTAAACGTGCTGGTACTTCTCTTTCCTGATACTGCACTACCCCAACCTGATGGCATGAGAAAGCATTGCAGACAGAGGAGTATGCTACAGTAAGGAGAGTGTTCCCTACTGCAGCTCATGATGTTTCCAAGAGGATGGCCTGTTGCATCTTAGGAGGTGTGTGTGACTTCCAATTCAGAAACAGCAGGTGACCAAATAATGGTTAGGTGATTCAACATTACTAAGAGATGATAGCTTTTTAACTAAACTGGTAACTCCTTTTTCTGATTAACACCTATACTAGAGACGGGAAAAAAGAAACCTCAAGTCAAAAAAAGCAGCAAAATACCTATAAAATCTGAATGTCAAAGGGCACAAAGACTGTCCTGTGCAGTTTAAATGCTCACTATAACTTTCAAAACAATTTATGCCCAGCACTGCAAAAATGCATGAAAGGCACAGGATGTGAGATTTATTAGTTATAGGTGCTATGTTCTGGGTTTCTTATAAAATGTTGCAGTCACATAAATACCTGAACTGAATAACTGTTTAGATTTAGCATCACCATTACATGGTTGTATTTTCTTGCACATTTACATCTTTGAAACTGCATCCCTACATGCAAAATACTGTTGAATGGTGCTGTACATTGAAAGTGAATAAAAAATGTCTCAAGAGAAATTCAAATTACCTTTCATCAAGGTAGATTCTCAGCTTCTTCCAATTTAGTGTTCTTGTGCAAAAGATAAACTTAGCTATTTCTTTTGGTGAATCGTCTAATATGCCTTTGGACATAAAGTAGTTGACTCCCTGAGAAAATACATGTACATATAAATATGTTTAATCTTCATAATCTATTTAGGAACAAGTATTGTACTTCACAATGTAGCAACATAATCCTACTAATTAGCTGGTTTATTTTCCAGAATGATTCCTCTTCCTCTAAATCACATTTCAACATGCACAATACACTCTAGAATTAAAAATCAAATGCAAAGAAACAATTTATTGTTATGGTTGAGATTTTACATACAGTCACAGTAGGAAATTTAAAATTATGAACCCCATAAGGAGCATGATGGTTTTTTAATAATTTCTTTATGGTGCAGACAAATATTTTGGTTTTCATACGTCTGTACTAGTATTTAAAATGCTGCAGGGATCATAAATTTTAATTTTATAACTTTTGTAAATAAGAAAATCTTAGCCATAATGTGTTTATACTTTAGTATCTTTCATTAAAACAGTAATGTTCTCACATGTATATGATGCACCACATTCAAATAGATGCAATAAATGCATTTGTTTAAATGTGTAATAATGCAAATAAACACAAGCACACTTATCTCAAAGCATAGGTAAATATCAACATATATAAATATGCATACATAAATAAGAACACTATGCCTAACAAAAATAGTTTGAAAATACAGAATTGTGCCCATTTTATATTCACATGGTTTCCAGAATTTTTCACACTTTTCCATGACACATTTGTTGTAGAATAAACACACCAAATTTAATTTGAAAGTATTTCGGTGATTTTCTGGATTCTTCCTGGTCATTGAAATATCCCAATGAACAAGACTATTTTCCTTGTGATCTCAGAAATCAAACCACCCCAATGGATTAAAAAAATATTCACCTTTTTCAACAATAAAAAAATCAAAACCTGAGAATAACTAACCAACTTGTTTCAATTTAATTTGGCAGGGGCTCGGAGCTGGTCTGAGCATTTGCTACCAGGAAGTGTTGCAACACTTAAGTACAGTATCTCTTGATTATATCATAATGTGAAAACATAGAGTGTGTAGGACAGTGCATTCCTGTATAGAATAATGTACAAAGGCCACAACCTAAATCACCTTTAAAATACTTCTGAAATATTTTTTCATAAATCTCTTGATATCAGATTTCACAATATTTTGCAAGTGTGCCCTTCTAGTTTACATTACATCCATAAAGATGTAGGGCAAACCTGGCATTCAGTGTATAAACTAAACTTCCCAGTGCTCTTCAATTTTGTGTGAAAAAAGAAATAAAGGACTGAGTGCAGATTTGGAGCATTTTATGAAACAAGTTAGTAAAGCAAAGTCTCAGCTCCATCAAGTAAAAGGAAAAAATAAATTAGGATCTGTGCAATTGACACAAGCAAAAAGCCAAGAAACAGCTCTAATATTAACTGTTTTTACCAGTCTGTACTTTTGGCTAATACAGTTATAGAAAATAACAGCTAATCAGCATACATTTATTTTGTTAAAAGAATGGCTTATAAAATTAATAAAAATATAAGGGTTTCTAGATAGGCAAGACAAAAATGTTCTAGCAATGTTAGGCCCAAATTTTAAGAAGAATCTTTACTGAGGATCATAATGACGTGTGTTGCACTGTAAACTTGCATTTCAGTCCAAATTACATCATATCTAAATTTGTCCATAATATGGATGGACAAAATATTGTTAAGTACTTTCTTGAATTGAAACTGAACAGATTGAAAATGGGAGATCAAAAGGAACAACAGCCGTGTATTAATTCCACAAGAATTTTGGCAGTTTGTGTAAGATGAGCAGCATCTCCTAAATATATCCTGACTTAATGAGATTTATGCATCTGCTTCAGTAAGAAGTATTTGCTTAAGGTAGTGCAAACTGAAGCCTGGCAAGGAAGTCTCAGTAGTATTCGTGCTGCAATTAACAAACACTTCTGCAACATATCCAGAAAATACCTGGCATGTCAGAGAGGAGGCAGGATGAAAATAACACCTTAAGACAAACAATGAGTTGGTTTCTCTGTGACAGAACTGCTGTAATTTCTTTTCTCATGCACTAGATTTCAACTCAATGTAGGAACTTCACCTGACAGGCTACCAAATCTTTGCAAAGCATTTTTATTCCCTAATTCCCTCTCTCTACCCACACCACACAATGCTTGACAGTATCTTTCTCTGTGAACACAGTCTTGTTATTAATGTTCCTCAACTCCTTCACAAGGAAACAAGGTATAAATAAAAGATACTTCATCACATGCCATCATTTTTAGTTGCTTTTTATTTCATCCTAAGCTATCAAAAATACTTTGAAACAGTAGAAACCTGATTTCTCTTTTAAGTTCTTAAATTTTGGCTCACAGCAAATGAAATTCATTTAAAGACAGACAACAAGTCATCAAATCTGCTTTTTGTAACACTGTAAATACTGCCTTGAAACCCTCTCAGTACCTACACTTCAAATAAATCACTTCTGGTAGCTAAAATGGTCACTTGTGGCATGTATACTAGCTGAAATAAGTAGTTCTATAAACTATTAAAACCTATGCTAAGATTACTTGTCAGTCAGCTGGTGATTGTTTTAGGAAATGTTTGACTGCAGTCAGTAGGCAGATCCATGCCACTATATGCCAGGTCTGAACAGGCAGATACACACCTGGGAAACACTGCAGGATGAGCACAGAATGTGCTCTTTTAATTCTGATTCAGAGCATTATAATGCTCTCAGCATTAGAGAATTAGGAAAGATGCCTCAGGGGCACCTTGCATCTGTGAAAGAATGTTACCACTGAATTTCAGACAGCTCTGGATAAAATATAAACATATGAAAACGTTGATTTAAATTATCTAAGCAAATGACAATCATAACTATAGACTAATAGTAACAACAAAAACTATTTGTTGTATTTTGGTATGTTATTTTTTACAGTTAGTCCTTTTTTCCCAGGCACACACCTATTCTATTACAGCACTGACACCTCTTGATTTCTTTCTACCTGTTTCCATTCATTCAGATACAGGATATCTAAAAAGGAAAATTTTACTTTTCAGTATTGGTTTCATTTTTGCACTGATGTTCTTCTCTGCTAAGAGTACTTTCAGGACAGTTAAGTACAGCAGTCAACACTAAAACTTTTGTGGCTGCCTTCAACATCTCTGTTTAGATATGCATACAAAACAAACCAGACATATTCCAAGTTAATGGCACAGAAATTTTGGAATCACTGTTTTTCTACCCGTATAAATGATTTCTTTTATATATTTAAATGGAACTGTTTGCAAAGTCACAGTTGGGAAACAATGAAGCTTTTTACTTAGTACCTATTTAAAAGTAGGGGAGGTGAATATATGACAAATATATTTGTCAATAAATTCCAATGTCACTTAATAGTTCAAATTTCACATAGATAGTTTTACACCTGCTGCATTTGTTTAGCTTGTTTTAAAATGTGACTAAGGAAAACACTAGTAGCATCTTAACATTAACATTTTAAAGTGATTTATAATTCTGCAAATTATATGTTTTTACATTTTAATAGCATTACGTAAGTATGAACATAAAGTGCTAGTTTCCTTCTAGTCTGTACTATATTAAAAAAAAGACTTTTATCACCAACCAAATGAAAACATTCTTAAATAAAAGCTGAGAAAATACAGGTATTCAAGTCTAAATACTGGCTTAATTATTTAAATTCTTCGGGAGCAGTGACTGTCACTTTATTCTATATAGAGTATCTGGCATAGTTGATGTCAATTTCTAACTGGGGATTCTAGGTAACACTAACATTATTAGCAAATAATAATTAGACATGTATGGTGCTATTGTTCCCATTTTTCTAGGGAAATATAGCATCTTATATTTCATGGTGCATCTTCTGGAACAAAATGCACAGTAGCGGTGAAATATTTTCTCACAGAAATTTTAAAGATTCTTTTACTAATTTATGAATCAAGTTATTTGGTGACAAATGTGGAGACAATATAGAACATACATTTCAAACAGTGTCACTTTCACTGTACGTCTTAAAGCACAGTCTCAGTCATACAAACTTATGATGGCAGAAATTGCAAGTAGAACGCAGAAATATTTTCCATGTTACACAGAATCCGTAACTAATAATTTAGACAATTGAACCTCTCTGACTTTAATGTAGCATTTTAAGCTGTATGGCCCTTTCTATCTCTTTTGCAAAATCACACAAAAGAACTTCTTTCTACAATGTAAATATACTTCTGAAATTCTTTGAATAGATAAATCAAAGCATCTCAAAATTGGCTTGCTTTGCAGACCATTATGAAATAAGCTAAGTTTTCAAATTTGGTTAAAAATATACAGCACTAAACATTCCACCATCTACAGGCTATCAGTAATTAAAAGTCAGGTAAGGTAGCCTTACACAAGTGGCTAACAATTTACAATCAGGAAAAGGCCAAAAAACTGACCTCCCTAACAAAAACTAAGGGCAGCTAATAATGAATGAGAATTGAAGAGTGGAAAGTCAGGCTTAGTATAAGCACTCTCTTACTGTACTTGGTTATTACTATGCTACATAAAGAAAATCCTGACCTCATTAACATCTGACAGCTTTGGTCTGGATTCCAATGGGTCCATAAAAATAAACACTATTAAATAAATCAGTTAGAATCATTATCATTAAGGATGAAACAAAAGCAGATCATCTTTCCTGACCAAAGGATTCTCTTTTCTCCCTTCAATTTCAATTTTATTACATGGAACTATGTTATGTAGTTAAACTTGACAAAATATTTTATAGTGAGTTAGAAAGCTGATACAAAACAGTGGGAGAGAACTTCTGGTTGCTTACAAATTCTGAGTCATAAGCACATGAGATATGAAACAAGCACTTCATGAGAAGCATTTCACATACACCATACACTCTTTAAAATAAAATACAGCAGAGACCGTGAGGGCAGATTAAACAATGTAATATTCATATTCAAGTGTTAATACTAACCCTAAACCATCCCCTCTCTCCAAAGAAACAAAAACCAGGTTCCAAAATCTTGGCTACAATGGTGCTGCCATATGAAACCCCCCCAAAAAACCAACAAACCCAACCATTCAAAAAACCCCAACCCAAACATGCACTGGAGTTTTTTTCAGATTACATGTAATGTGATTAGGCACATCCTTTCAGCAGAATGTGAGTGCCTGCTATGAATTATGCAAGCTCATGCACACAATCAATACATTAAATTACAGCAGATATCACAACACCATGCACACAACAATGGCTAACCAGAGAATCCTACCACAAAGTGTGTAGATGCTCTTCCCTACCCCGTGAGCCACCGCTAGCTCTGGAGCTGTTGCTGTGGAGCCTGGTTACCCATTTTCATGACATGGGCGATGTCCTTTGGAGAATCTTGCTCCTGTGGCTGTAAGTATTCCTATTTTTATAGTAATTTGATCAGGTCTGTTATCAAATGTAAAGCATAGTTTGGCAGGAAATTCGGAGACACAATTTGTAATATTGGAATGCCATATCATATATTCCAGATACAGTGTCCTTATAATAAAAATTCTGCCAATATCACAGTTGTAAACAATAAAAGCAATAGTCTTTGTGAATTCTCTTGAAACTCAGGCCCTGAATGATTCCTACCAGGCTATGGTGCTCCACAGGGAGAGAGGAACAGAAGCCCTTCGGAGATACCCTGAGGTTTTAGTCTCGTTAGGCCTGAAGCAGACTGTTTGTACCACTATTGTACAATATAACCATAATGAACCCAGAAGAAGCAAGTGCAGCATAGCAAAGTTAACACCTAATTTAATTATACTATAAGGTAATTCTAATTTGCAGATCTTAATTTCCTTTAAAAATAAGGAATCTTTTAAGTGCCTTCTCTGCAGGCTCCAAATGCTTTAAACATACCAAGATTACATAAGTTTGAAATATAACAGCACATTATAAACTAAGATAGTATGGTAAATGAAAAATTATGTTAAAACAAACTGAAATACAAAGAAGAATTTGGATGGCCAAAGCTGCAATTTAAACTTGATATATTATTGAAAACATCTAAGTTACCTAAATACTGCATTTCATCTGGAAAATACTTTACATTTATTACTAAATTTGTGAAACTTCTGCAGAAAAATCAATGCTAATCACTCAAGTGACAAGGTGCTGATGTGTCAACACTGTATCAGAACTCAAGGCAGAACTCTACCAGAGAAATCACAAAATACTCTAATTCATGACTTATAAAAGTAGTGGTTTCTTTATCAAGCAGAATAGGCAATAAAGCAAGAAATTAAACAAAATCACATTATTGTAATGATTCATACAACTGCTTTACTTATTTCATCCCTTGGTTCCAAGTTCATGTTTTCTGTATCACAGTGGAGTGAATATTTGCTCCTAAAAGTCTATCTTTTCGTGCCTCTTAAACCTTTTCCTACTTTGGATTTATTCAATTACCACTTCCTCGTGTATGTATAAATATATGCACGAAGTTAATGCTACTTTTGTTCAGTGTTGTGTACCCCTCTTTTCCTAGGAAACATGAAGCAAGAGTCTGATTTTGTAGACAAAATATTATCTCTGTCACTTGGGCATTCATTGCCTACCTCCCAGCCAAAAGCTGTCTACTCTCAAACTCTTTTCTTCTTTGAAAGGTGACAGACTGAACACAGAAACTGACTTTTCCAGTTAGTTACATGAATTAATGAAAACTTTTTAATTTGACATGGGGTATATTTTTAAAGATAAATATATGTTGCATAAACATCCACAGAAATCAAATCAAACTGATCTTCAGGATAGTTCAGCAGTATATCTTTTTCAGAGTATTTCAAGATTTGCTCCTTGATAGTGGAAATAGGTAAAAATTCCTTACAAGAAAATGTTATTGTAATAGAAGTAATCAGTGTTACTTTATACCTCATCCTGCTTCAATTGCAGTGGAACCAAACTCATTTTCTGCAGAAGCATTTTAGCATTTTAATTTATGTAAGCATATTATAATCCTTTTAAAATTCACCATTGTCTCTTCAGTTAGGATATCTGACTCGTTCCTAAGGCAATACCTGGTTATGAATTTCTGGCATCCATAGGTCAGACTGGTGTACAAGAGGCAAGTCATATACATGATGTGCATAGGTACAATACTCAAAAAAAAGACCAGCATAGTGCTGTAACTTAGCATTAAGCATCCTTACAGCAAAAAACCCACCTACTAAAACTTGGGGTATATATGGACATAATTATAGAACAACAATCACAGTTATTTTAACTGTTTATTACTATCAGCAACAGTTACTTACCTCATCAGGGTTGGCATTGAAGGTGAGACTGCCCTCATCTAGCTGCATATACAATTTTCTAAAAGAAAATCCTAGAGGCGGATTCTTATTGTATATAGAACAGTGACCCCAAGTGGATTTGCACAACCTATAAAATTAAAATTAGTCTATTATAAAAATTAATTTCTGAATTTCATGTATTTTACAGAAGCAAAAGGTAATCAACACCACAAAGCTAAATACTCAAACTATAGGAAAAGCAAGGAATAGGTTGATTGCAATGCTTAGTTATTAAGTCCTTTGCATGTGTATTGCTAAAAATCTTCAACTATATGATAATTGTTTTCTTCTCAGAGAGGTTTTGGTGCATTCGAGCGCAACCTTAAAACGTATCCCAGTAGGTGGCACCATAACGACATCCACACGGCGGAAAGCTCCGGCACTCCTGGAGAACTATGACAAATTGTTCTCCTGCAGCAGTGTGACAGATTAAAACATTGTGTTTCTTTTTTTTGTGCCCCAGCTGTGCACTGAGTGTGACACCACATCTGCACAAACTTAGGCCACTAATTCATCTCTTTCTCCATCTGTTCTTTTCCACCCAACTCTTCTTTTTCCATCTTGGCCAACCCTAATTATGTGATTCAGCCCCATCCCTCTGTACCTTCTATCATTTGAAACTCCCTTTCACTTTCTAGGCATGCTGGATTCCTTATTATATGGTTATGTAGGTTACTTATTGCACTGCTAGTTCTGTTCAACACACCTGCTTTGTAACTAACTAGGGACAATATTTAGGACCCATCAGGTAACCACTGAGGACATGGCAAAGACTTTGTCATCACTTCAGGAACCTGTGGCTTATTCAGACTGAGTTTGGGATTGCAGCCACAGGACTTGGTAAAGCCTAAAGTCAAACACATCCAATAAATATGGAATATTGAAGATGTCTACAGAGATTATGCAAATCGAGGTTTTTATTAATGTGCTAAATCAGGACACATTTTCATTACCAAAGTGTATACTTTGAACATGAGTATTATTTGGAAATATTTCACTAAAAATGATTGTACTATTTCTCAGAATGAACTTTGAGGAAAATATGTATTTTTCCCTCTGTATGCTAAGGATAAATACTGCACATGATTACAAAGGTCTAGTATCTTCAAGCTTTGACGTAGGGAATTTATTTGTATTTAGGGTGGGTTTGATAACAAGAAGTGAGTACAACACATTGCATACTGACAAGCTTAGAAGCTTACCTGCATCCTTCACTAGAATTCCTGTTTCCTGTCAATACAACAGACCCCAACAGCAGAATAATTCTCACTTAAAAGTTGTATTATCTTATTGCTAGGTTCATAAATCATGATAGGAAGGGAAGCTAGTTAATGCAAATGCAGAGGGGCAAAGAAATACATGAGGGAAGGAAGAGATGTAGGGCACAATGAAAGGAAAAGAAGTAACCTGAAAAACCACTCAACCACTACATTAATACTATTACTGCTAAGGAGTAAAAAAATGTTGTGAAAGAAGGTACAAGTTTTACTGACCATCTACTCTAAAAATAAGTATGATTTCATGAGCCTTTCCTAATCTTTTAAAACATAAAATATAAAATAATATATTTTTAATTACACATTGATATTATACTACTTTATTTGAAAGAATGTTCCTTTCTTTACCTCCTGGACATCCAACCTCTGCATATGTTATATATGTGTTTCAAGTGTTAAAGTGCAGAAATTTCACTTCATCCATGAGCAAACCTGACTCTTTCTTTCCTGACCAGTATAGGAGATAAGTTCTCATCCCTTTTTATGTGGAACTTCAGCTGAATATGTTTGCTTGTTCAAGCTACATATTTGTTTGAAGTCCAGAGAAGTAATAATACAAACATCTGAGATGTGCTTTGAGCTAACACAAAAGTGAAAACAAGTCCTTGTTTTCTCCCCATATTTCAAACAACAGGCCTGTAACAATATACATGTATACTTGTGCCAAGCACACTTGTGGCTGTAGTAATCTCCAGTAATACCCGATAGTAACTAGAAACCCAGAGTAACACTTTTTATAACTACGTATGTTTCACCTATTTCATATCTCATTTAATTTAGGAAACCTTTGCTAATGTTAGAATGACAAAAACCACATATTGAGGCAAATTTAAAAATCTATTTATGTTTACTATGTCCAGGCGATACTTTTTTTCATGCTTACCCTTGCCAAAGGAGCTCATCATTAGCAAGATCCTGCCAGACACATGAAGCTAGACAGAGATCAGTTGCATTCAGGTATGACAAAATGGTAAAACTAAGCTCTGGTGGCAGCATTTCCAGGTTAATGAATCCTTCTTGCTCTTTAGATTTTCTCGTCTTCAACAGGTGGTAGATGTCAATGCCTCCTTGAGCTTGTTTGCGATGGCTTGTATTGTTAACATTGCTAGCAGTTATCCTCCTACCATGCTCTCTGCTGAGATAGCCTTGCCCGCTGTATCCTTGCTGTTGCAATTGCTGGTTCCTAGCAACTCTCCAGAGTCCCTGACCCATCTGCGAGCCTGATGGACATAAACCCCAAATTAGATGTTGACAGCTATTTGTAAACATTTATAAGACACACTCAGCACACACTGGAAAACTGAAACTGCAGGAAAAATATGAATAGATAAAAAGTGAGTTTTATCACAGTTACGCTGACCATGTAACCTGTCTTCGTGAGGCAACTGAAGAAATAATACTGAAAACAAAGCTCATAAAAAAACCTAGACTTTTTTTCAAAAATTTCCATGCTTGAAGAGTTACAAAATTAACAATAAGCTCCGGCAAACAGTACCAAATATAATCTATATACTATGCAAGCTAAGAAGCCTTAAGCTTCAGAACATTTGGAATCTTCAGACTTCCTTTAAAGTTTTATAAAAATATCTTATTTAGAGTCAATGATGTGCTACAAAACAAAGAGAAACAAAAATGTCCTGAGTACTGGGTAGCACATGACACTGTGACTGACACTGTGACTGACACTGAAACAAAGTCTAATGACTTCAGTGATAACACAGTTAAGGATTTTGGATGCTCAGAAACAAGAAAATGAGTATCTTTTCAAGCTTTCTTAACTAGCAGCAAAAAATAAAGCCTTCAGAATAAGGTGCTCACATACTCATACAGAGACTATCACTGCAGAATACTACAAAAAGCCTGTTTTTAATATTAAAAAAATAAAAAATATACTTGCTATATTATGGACCAGGTGAAGAAATTTCACAGAAGAAACAAAGTGAGACACAATTAAAATCATTCTAGAACCAGCTGCTGGAAATCCACAAGCTCTAATACGTGTGCAGCTATTTAGCAGCTTATAACCCATTTGTTAGACACATATAATTTCATCATCACGTGATTACTTTCGGCTTTGTAGTAATCCAGGATGAATGCTTTTAGAGCTCACTCATGAGATGAGCAAAGCCACTGTTATTATATAAAGCTTTTTAAGCAGTGGTCTCCAAAACTAAAGCTCTAAATTATTTTGAACACACATTTTCAGTCTCCAGATTCACAGGCCACTCAAATGTTTATGTTTTCAAGCTTTCAATTATCCAATTAATTGAAACCTCTTGATAGCTTGCCTGTAATAACTATCACAGTAAAAATATCATGCTTGTTTGTAAATTGCTGATTTTCTCTGGCTTTGTTGGCCACCCATTAAAGTCTGATTTCAATTCTATTCATGTCTTCTTCATCTTACTTTGGTACAGCATAATAAATTATCTTGCAGCGTATACAAGCGTGACATCATCCTAAAAGCAATCTAGATTAATACTGCATTAGTACTGACTTCTACTTTATTAAAGAAAACCCAACATACCCTATAAACGCTCTCCACTTTATGGTAACCGAGCCCTACAGCTGCTGCTTTGCAGGCACAATTATCCTGACAGGAAAACGTTCCTTCCTTCGATGCTATCAAAGCTGAGGCTTCGTTCATCGCAGTTGCAGTCGTATCGCAAGCCTGCCCTAACGCGAGAGCCCTCAGAACCCGACTCCAGGCAATCAGGAGACGGTCGGAGACACAGCCAGTCCCGCACGCCC